TGCGATCATTCCCCATATTCCCCACGGCTAGTGCTTTCTCACTTTCCCTCTCTCTACAACCCCCTCTAGTACACATATTCTCTAGCAAAATTTCTTTTAAAAAGTATGCTCTCGGGAACGAGCAGGTGGTGTGGTAGTTAAGGAGCTGGACACTCCTGCGTGGCTGACCATGGTTCAAATCCTGGGACTGGTGGCTTGCTTTCTCACTTTCCCTCTCTCTGTGGTCAAATTAAAAAAAAAAAAAAAAAAGAATAAATAAAACTAAATAAATATTTCTGTATTTGAAAAAAAAGAACGTTCTCTAGTTTGCCACAGTTCCACCACTCTGTTATCTCATTACCAATCCGCTTCACTCACTTACCCAACTTCTTGCCTCTAAAGGAAATTTATATTCAACCCTGAAGTGCTTTATAGTTTTAAAATTCATTTCTTTTAAAGAATTATTTTATTTAGGGGGCCAGCAGGTAGCGTGGTGGTTAATGATGCTGTACACCCACATGGCCAACCACAGTTCGAGTCCTGAACCTGGCGGCTTACTTTCTCACTTTCTCTCTCTCCCTGTCCCTCTCTGATCAAATTAAAATAAATTATTAATTAAAAAGATTTAAATAACGGGACCAGCAGTTGGTGCAATGGCTATGTGGCTGGACTCCCATGTAGTTAACTGCAGTTTGAGTCCCGGACCTGGTGGCTTAAACTCACGCCTGGCACGTGTGCGTGCGTGCCCAAGACCCCAAGAGGAGAATGGAGGAGAAGGGATTGTGGCGTAGCCATCCCCCCTGGGGGGTGATTTCTCGCTTTCTGTCTGTCTTCCTGGTGAGCACATGCACCCTATAGCAAAAACCCCTCCAAAAAATTTTTTTTAATAAAATAATTCTTTTTTTTTTTTAGAGGTTTTTGCCATAGGGTGCGTGCGCTCACCAGACAGACAGAAAGCAAGAAATCACCCCCCAGGGGGGATGGCCACGCCGCAATCCCTTCTCCTCCATTCTCCTCTCGGGATCTTGGGCACGCATGCACACGCGCCTGGCGTGAGTTTTAAGCCACCGGGACCAGGACTCGAACCTCGGTTGACAACATGGGAGTCCAGCAACATAGCCATTACGCTCACTGCTGGTCCCAAATAATTCTTTTTATAAAAGTTAAAATTATTTATTTTAATTTGACCAGAGAGAGAGAAAGTGAGAAAGCAAGCCACCAGGTTCGAGACTTGAACCATGGTTGGCCATGTGGAAGTCCAGCATCCTTAACCACCATGCCATCTACCAGCCCCAGCCCCTATAGTTTTTAAGTATATTTTGACGTGTGGTTTTATTTTAGCCTGGATACTCCATTAAGGTAGATAAATATTATCATTTTAATCTTCGTGTGGGCAAAATGGAGTTCAGAGGGGCTCGACTTGCCAAAGCAACAGAATCAGAATCCAGATTTCCTGACTCCCAGTTCTATTATTTCTTTGAGGAAAAGTTTATACTAAGAACTTCATGGGGCTGGCAGGAGGCGTGGTGGTTAGGGGTGCTGGGCTCCCACATAGCCTACTGCTGTTTGAGTCTTGGACTTTTTTTTTTAAGAATGATTTATTTGTTATTATCATTATTTTTAAAATTTGACCAGAGAGACAGAAAGTGAGAAAGCAAGCCACCAGGTCTGAGACTCAAACTGCAGTCAGCCATGTGGGAGTCTAACACTGTACCCACTGCACCACCTGCCGGCTCCCAGAGGTGAGTCTAGGAGTCCAGTGACATAACTTTAAGCCACCTGCTGGTCCCCCTCCTGCAATCTTGAAGTTAGGTACTATTTGATTTGCTTTGGCCAATAAACTGTGCCTGAAGTGACACAGGTCCCTTCAGGGCAAAAATATGTAAAAGTTCATAAGCAATTCTTCCTGTTTACTTCATATTCTGAGGGGGGTAACCCTAAGCCTCTTGGTTACACAGTGGGAGCTCAAAATGGCAATGTTCCATCAGCTGGGGTACCTGAACAACTCAGAGAAGTTCCATATTCTTTCCATTTTCCCTCTGAAGATCTGATCATTTTTAGTCTGTGAAGTAAGCCAGTAACCAGATTAACAGGAAAAAGGCATACAAGTTTATTAAGTGTGTACATATGTAGGCTGGAGGCCTGCACAGATGAGACTCATAGAAGGGCCAAATGACAGTTTTATACCTTATAAAAGGGGTAAAAACTGGGGGGAAACAGTGGAGGGGTGAGGGGGAAAATGCAAAGCTTGTCTTGTTATGCAGATACAATCTCCTAGGTAATAGCTCTTGGGAAGAACAGATGCGGCCTGTGAAAAAGTTTCCTTTGGCCAGGTGTCAGACTTCTAATCTTCATCTAGAGATGTTCCTAGGCAAAAAAGCTGCGGTGGAGTGTGGGGGATGCTCAGAAAAAGCCTGCTTGCATCCATGGCCGACTTGACTTTGACAAAAATATAGCTTTTTAGAGCTAATCCTGTGCCTCTGGCCCCTTTGATAATCAACTCGAAATATGCCAGAGACGTATATTTGGGGGTGGAATATTTTGGCACCCACACTTCACAATGAACCCTTTGCCAACCTACTCTGGACATGTAGTAAGAGAAATAAACCTTTGTGGTTTTAAGCCACTGAGGTCTTAGCCTGGTTACCACCTAGCCACCAGCATAGCTTAGCCTAACCTGACTGATCCAGGCCTCATCTGCGTGGTCACCGAGCTTCTGTAAGAACTCCAAGGCAGTGTCTAGACTTCCAATCACTGACAGCTCAAAGATGGCGAAAATTGTCCATCCCCATCCTCCAGCCCAACCACGCTTCCTCATCTACCACCGCCTTTCTAAAGAATTCTTTTTCTTTCTTTCTTTTTATTCATTCATTTATTTCAGTTTGACCAGAGAGAGACAGAGAGAGAGGGAAAGTGAGAAAGCAAGCCACCAGGTCCAGGACTCAAATTGTAGTGGACCATGTGGGAGTGTCCAGCGCCTCGGCCACCGCCACCTGCCAGCCCCCATCTACCACCACCTTCTGACTTAGAGGAAAATTCTTCTTCCTCAGATCCCTTCACAGAGCGCCCCCTTATTCTGGCAGTTAGACTGAGGGAAGGAGGCAGCCGGGCATCCATCATGTTTTCTCCGTTCCAGAGCCTGATCCAGATGTATCCCCACCCACTCGTACTCACACTTAACCTTGTCATTGGGCAACTTTTACCACTCCCAAGGTGTCACGAGCAGAAAGGAGCTACGGCGGGCGTCACTGCAATGACAAGGCAAGGCAGCCAGGCTGTGCTCTATCCTCACTGGTTCCTGGGCTGGGCTCAGCCCGGAGAAGCAGCGTTCTCTGGGGAAAGAAGCCTGCTCCAGTGGGAACAAAATGAGTGTGAGGCGAACACCCATCCTGGGCACTGTATGAATTTGGGGTGAGTTCTCTCAGTACTCCAGTTCTGGTCAGTATCTAGTTTCGAACGCTAGGAAACTGCCCGGCTGGTGCTACTGGGACTCCCAGATTTCCTGGGCTTTCCCCAAGCCCACCCGAGCTTATCATCTTTGCACACTTGCAAAGGTCGTAAACGGTGGGGACTGAGTGCCACGAGAGCTTCAGCAACCCGCCCACAGCCGGGATCAAAGGTCAGCGGGGCTAGCCAGAGGCCGAGCCTGCGCAGTCCCACTCCCGCCCTGCGGAGAAAGGGCGGCGGCTACGCGGGCTCGTTACCCCAGCGTGCTCGCCAGAGGCGGGAAGTCCTCCTGTCGGGTCGCCGCGTCTCTCCCTTTACAGGCCCAGTCCACCCGCCTGCCCTGCGGGCCTGCGCTCTTCAGGGGCCCGGGCCCCGGGGGAGGGGACCAGCAAGGCCCCGCGCTCTGACTCATCATCGCCAACCCCTTTCTCGCGCGCGCTCCAAGTCTCAGGACTTTGGACTTGGGCACTCGTGCGAGGGGGCGCGGCGCCAGCATCTGGGAGCTGCCAGCTCTGCCCCACGCCAGCCTCCAGCCCTGGCCGGCCTCCGAGACTACCAGCAGGAAGGATGTGAT